CAGAAGACTGTGAGTTCTAATCCCACCTCAGGCACAAAGGCAGTGACTTTGTGGCCAGTCACACTCTCTCAGCCCAATTCACCTCACAGGGTTGTTATTGTGGGGAAAATAGGAGGAGGAAGGAGTATTAGGTGTGTTCGCCACCTTGAGTTATTTACAAAAATAATAAAAGGCGGGATAAAAAAAGAAATCTAATCTAATCTAAAAATCTACTTAAAACTGTAATTATTTGCTACTTGGCTTGGATTAGTTTACTCCTGCCAATAATTTTTTTTAAAATCTGTTCCACTTTCTAGTAAGCAAAGTACCCAGATTTACAATTCCTAGATTTCAAAGCAGACTTTTAAAAAATATTCCTGAAAGAAAGAAAAATAACACCGACCCCAAATAGCCTGTGGCACTGCATGATCATATGGGCCAGGCCTTGCGTTGCAGCCAAGTTCTCACTCAAATCCCTCTGGTCAGGTTTTCCTGTACTGTGCTTCCTTTGGCTGGATCTGAAAAGGAAAATGTTACACCTTCACTGTTTTGATCACTAGCCACTGGTTCTGGTTTAGAAAATATATCTGCCATTTTGGAGAAAGGGGTTAAGTGGGAAAGGAAGTGGTTATATGTTGTACATGGAAAAACTTAAGAAAATAAGACATTAGGAAGTTATAATTTTCTAAGAGAGCAGTTCTTCACCAATAGATATGATGTTTCCACCACCTTTGAATGATTTTGAGGGTTTGTATTTTGTAGGGGTGGTGTTCCTCTTGGCCAGTTCCTTTGGGTGCCAGGAGCAGGAGCAACCAGGTATAGCTATGACTAGAGGTGTGCAGAGGTGGACGAGATGGGTCCCAATGACTGGGAGGGAAGAGATAGGTTGGCGGGTGAGAATACAGTACAGGTGAGCACTGGACCCAACCATCCTGGACATTTTCATTAACTCTCCAATTTCCCCTTCTCAGAGAAGGTTGTGGAAAAGCTTGTTGGGTTGCAGTTACAGAGGACCCTTTTCAATCAGGCCCGGACTCAATCCTTAGATAGCACTGATCACACTTAATTACCTGTGGCTAGGATGAGGTGGTACATTTGTACTGGCCCTCCTTGACCTCCCAGCAGCTTTTGATACCATTGATTGTGCTATCCTTCTGGACTGGCTACGGGGAATGAGATGGGGGGCATGGTGTTATAGTGGATCTTCTTTCTCCACAGCCAGTTTCAACTCATGGGTTGGGAAGGGGGATTTTGAGTCTAAAGCCAATTGGTGTCTGGATGGAGAGAAATAGGCTAGCAAGACCAAGTGGCTACTTCAATATATACAGACCTGATTCTGGGGACTATACACCTTGGTCCTGAATGGAGCTGCACTTCCCCCATTTTGGACATGTGTGCAATCTAGGGGGTTTCCTTGACTTGTAGCTTCTGCTCAAGAACTGGGTGGAAGATGTGGCAAGGAAGGCTTTTGCAACTTGTGCTCCATTTGTCCTCATTCTTAGACCAAGAAGCTTTCCTTATATTCACTCATGCCTTGGTCACTTCATGGGTAGACTATTGCAATATGGGCTATATGGATCTCCCCTTGAAGACCACTCAGAAGCTACAGCTGGTCCAGAATATGGGTACAGAAGAAGTGATCAGCAGGCCTCATTATGTCCATGTAACACATCTGCTTTGTGAGCTGCACTGGTTACCAGTAAACTTCCAGGTAAAATTCAAGGTGCTGGTTATTACCTATTGAGCTCTATTTGGCATACAGCCTAGCTATCTGAAGGACCTTCTGTCTCCCATAGTGTCTGCCTATCTTGTGCAATCAGACAAAATCAGTTTGCTTCAGGTCCCATCAATCAAGCCATGTCATCTAGCAGAACCCAGGAACTAGGGCTTCTGTGTCATGACACCTGCCTTCTGGGACAGCATCTCCCCAAAAACGTTTATGGCCCCCACCATACCAGCCTAAAGTGAGCAATTAAAACTTTCTTTGGCTTAGATTGTTTGAAGGGGATGATGAGTATGTTTTTGCATGACCTGCTCTTTTTATAATATTGTTTTCCTTCTATTTTAAAACTATGAAGGTTGATAAATAAATCTGTGCAAGTTTGATAAATAAACACTCCATTATTTGCCAAAAACCCCAATGCAACATACAACAGGAATACAAATACATATTTAAATACTAGAGTGAAACTGTAAACAAAGTGATAATAAGAAGCACACACCACAAACCCCAGAAAGAAAACCCATCTAAAGAACAGAAGGCTGGATACAATAAGAAGGCTTTACCAACAGCTTAAAGGTTAGCAGGGGCCCAATCAGAGTGGCTTTCTGCAGGATAAAGAAACTGATCTATGTGTTCAGCTGACCTACTTTAAACAGACCACAAGGAGGATCTGTTAGAAAGATCTTCCTTGTGGTCTAGGGTGGTATAACCCAGAGGAAAAAAACACTAAGACACTGAAAACAGTAAAGAATGCAATATAAATATCTTCCTGTGACAAGCAGTGGCCCATTTCAACAGTTCATTTTGCATTTCTAGTCATACCAAATACCATTTAAAAAACTGCATATGAGAATAAGATAAACCAATATATTGGCCTGTTAATATAATACCTCTTTTGTGGAGCATTTAATGAGTTCTACCCAAATAGAACAAGCGTTAGCTAATCTTGTTTTAGTTAAACACATAAAGCACTCATTGATTTGTCTAGTATCATTAAAATATTTTAATAAAAGCTGGGCCAGAAATTCAGAGGAAAAGCTAGTTTCATTATTCAAGAGTTCTCAATGCTTTGCCAGAGAGCATTTTTCATATTTAAAGCATATTTGTGGCATCTGGCCAAAATCATGATTGGGAAGAACCTGGCATTCATCTCCACTAGCTCTATCTTGGAATATTTTTGTGAACGTTCATATATATATATATATAGAGAGAGAGAGAGAGAGAGAGGGAGGGAGGGAATGATTGTTAACTTCAATTTCTGAAATCAAAGCTGTTAGATAAGGGCTTTTTGATGTTTTAACACTGAAAGTAAAATATTTACAGATTTATTATATCAACTTCAAGGTATTAATGCAAAAAAAAAAAAAAGAGACAAATTACCTATTTTTAAGTGAACAGCTTATTAACCTAGTAAGATAAAAGCTACTACAGTTTGTAGATAGAAGAAAAACTTGGAAGTATTTGCCTCCTCCTCCACCACCCTTAAATCTTGAAAACCACCATAGGATTATAAATTTCTTCACCTAGAATTAAAAACTATGCAGCAACACTTCCCATCCATTTTTCTGACACATTCCTGGCCCTGACCACATATTCACTCTCTGTGACTGACAACGCTGTCATCATCTGTGCTTTCTTTCTCTCCCTGGGGAATGCTGAACATCACAAGACTTGTTTTATTGCCTGATGCACATCTGGGATGTGTACGCCTCTTAAAAGTACATTCTTCAAATGTTTTACCTCTCTTCACCCCTCACAGACATTGAACTATCATGCTAAAGACATGCAGTTATTTATTTTTCCAGCTTCCTATCCTGCAGAAATAAAACTTGTACTTAGATCTTAACCTACAACAAACATTGAGTACATATACTGTAAGCTGAAAAGCATTTCATGTTCAAGTGCTCTGATATCCTATTATGGACAGATATTCGGCACATGCACAATTCATGCAGAACTTGTTCAGTCTTTATACTGTATATTCTTTATAGATACATCCATATACAATATATTTACCCTGCTTTCCCATCCCACTTCTTAAAAAAGTAACCCTTAATTTTGAGAAACCTGAACAATTACAAACTAAGGTGTTTTCAAATGCCTAGCATATTTTGGGAATTTGTACTATGTATTTTATGTTACCGTCTTCCTCAATCTGCTGTACTACAGATGTATTGGATTAAAATTCATACCCCCAGGCTGGTTGTGGGTGACAAAAGGTGAAGTCTAAAATATCTGGAGGGTGCCATGCTAGAGAAATCTGATATACATGCTATAAAATCTGACAATTCTTCTTGACCTCTCTCCATAACTATTCATTCATTCATTCATTCATTCGTATGTGTGTGTGTGTGTGTGTGTGTGTGTGTACATATATATATAATGTTTTTTAAAAGTCAGCTGCCACTTATTGGCTGTTTCTCAAGAAAAGTCATATTGGTTAATTTTTTTCATTCCATTTGTGGGATTGCTTCCCACATTACTCTGGTTTCAAATGATCTTGTGGGAACACTAAATTCTGTGGCTATTTCCTACCCCAATTATGTCTCTTCCAGGAGGTGGAGCAATATTGGCAAAAGAATTAAGTCTCACAGGACTTTTGTGTTCTTGTATTATTAGAGCAGTATGGGAGGAAGCCACACCAAAGTGACTGATGACGCAAGAAGCTCAAAAAAGTATGCACACTTAAAGTATGCCTATCCCTCTGTAGGGCCTGACAGTGTATAATCTTGTGTAGTTTCTCTCTACACTCACCATAAGCCACAAGTTTTTGGGTTGGCAAACTGAACTATTTTCAATTTGAAACAAACAGAGTCTGGAATATCCTTAAGGAATGCAACCCGTCCATCGTTGCTGCAATAATCAAAACTTAAATGGAACAGGTTAGCAAAACACTTAGCTATGGTTTCAAAGGGTACTTTCCAGAGGCAAAGCTTTCCATCAACCAACTTTGTTCCTTATGTGTTATTTAAACATTGAACAGGATGATGTACAATTAGGAGTATTCTCAAGCACTACTCATGGAAGAGCCAAAATGTAAGGAGGGGTTTTCTTTGGCTTCTTTACTGTCTCTTCTAGCACAGTCCATGCTTATTTTATTACAGACTGCATTACCACCCAACATATTATGATTAGAAAGGGTAATTATAGTCAGAATTGCCCATAAAACACACAAACATAACAATCATGCTATTATTTTTCAGGGGAAGCAGCATTATGTAAATTGAAAAAAGAATAAAAAGAAGTAAACGAAAGAAACTGGAGGCACGAAATAAAAGGAAACATCTAACTTATATTAACACCATTCATTATATAGGTCTGGGCCTTTCTGTCCATCCAAACCATCCTTGCTTCCACCATGTTCATACACCACAGCACAACTTCTTTTTTAGGATCTCATCAAATCCATCCAACTTTCTTGGTCTTCCCTTTCATCTCAATCCATTCACTCTTTCATAGATTTGTTTTCTATTCAGTCTTTATTAATTCTCTGTAAATGACCAAACTACCTCTCAAAAGACCTGCTGAAGAGCAAAAATCTTTTCCGCATGCTGCTGTCCGGTATATAGTCCATTCATTGTACTTTCCAAATTTTGGTTCTTGTCATATCTCACTTGCAATCAGAATTCTGCCAAACAACTTACCAGGCACACTTAACAAATCAGTTTTTGAGCCATTTTCAAATTCATTCTTGCTAAATATGAGAGAGAGAGAGGGAGGGAAGGAGGGAGGGAGGGAGGGAGAGGGAGAGAGAGAGAGAGAGAGAGAGAGAGAGAGAGAGATCTCACTTTTTGTAGGGGGAAACAATAACTGCATTCATCAAGCACAGATGCAGCCTTTCCACACATGTAAAGCGAGCACCTTTATATTCCAAAAATGAAAAATACATATTTTGTCTTGCTCATTAGTAAGTATAATTTAATGAAAAATACCTAGAAGATGATGAACTATCTCTCCTCAAGGTATTGAGGTGGAATAAAGATGGTGCCAGGCATACTGCTATATTAGTTGGAGTCATCTGATTTTTCTCCACAAACATCACAACATCCCTGAGGAAGTACAGCAGAATTTTCAGAGCTTCACGATTTTCATCTGGAAGCAGAAGAATAGCAGCTTGGACAGCACAAAATTGCTGATCTTTTGGTAGGTCTAAAAAGAAGGAGAAAAAGTGGAATTAGACATGTCATCTCTAAAAGCATTTCTTAAGGTACATATATATATTCTCCTAAAAAGTACCTGCCATCCAGAGCTAGTTTCCAGTTATATTTAATGCAGTTAAGTTTAAATTAAGGAAGACAGAGTATCTCAAAGACTAATTTGTAATTGGACAATCGAATTAAGTGGCAAATTGATAAGAATGTTTAGTCTTAACATTTCTAAGATGAAACCAATACAAGCTATTCCCCCAGCTTATAATTTGTCTCTTGACCTGTGATTTAAAGTACCAGCAGCAAATATGGTTATCTTAAGAAAGTATAGGACGTTTTGTTGATAAAATTAGCATTTAAATGGCCAGAACTGAATTAATCAATTTAACAAATTTGTGTGGCCACCCATCTCAACAAATAACTATAAGTGGCTAACAAAAAATATAGATTAAAAACACAGTATTTAAAAAAAAACCATAAAACAACACCAGTTTGATTCAGGCACCACACAACTATTTGACAACATGAAACAAGATATCCTTACTAGGCTCCACTAATATTTCAGACCCAACACTTGAGGGAAAAGCCAGGTCTTCACATTCTTCCAGAAAGCCAACAGAATTGGGGCCATCTGAATCTCAGGGAAGAGTTGTTCCATAGGGCAGGCCCCAGAGAAAGCACACCTCCTGGGTCCTATCAGATGATACTGTTTCAAAGAAAAGATCTGAACCATGCCCACCCTGCCAGATCTGGTGGGATGGGCAGAAACCACTGGAGGCAGGCAGTCCTGCAAGTCATCTGCCTGTCCCATGCAGGGTTTTAAAGATGACACCCAACTCCTTGAATTGCATCAGAAGCCTACTAGAAGGCAATGCACCTCTTGTAGCAATGGTATTACATAGGTGTACTATAGTGCATCCTAAACTGTATGTGCTGGTCCCATTCTAGACCAGCTGCAACTTCCAAATAACTTTCAAGAGTAGTTCCATGCAGACCACACTGCAATAATTCAACTGGAAAGTGACTAGGGAATTAATGACTCTTAGTAGTCACTTCTGATCCAGGAACAGATGCAACTGGCCACAAGATGACTGTGCATAAAGGGCCAGAATGCCATGTCTTTCCCCTGCTCCAGGATCCATGTCCATCCATGTACAATTTAATCCAAAATTGTGGTCACATGCTCATTCCCAGCCGCTGCTAAGGTATTGGTTAAGTCATGTAACAAAACTACCAGGACATCTCCAAGTTCTCTCTGGAACTCCACCAGGTCCACTGGGTACCTAGGGTGGACTGATCAAATAGGTCCTTCCTGCCTGCAGTGCAGATTTATCTATAGAGAAATCCAAGGCCAGTGGGGAGTAATCTGTCCATGACAAGGGACTGATGACAAGATCCCCCAACACCAGATTATACAGCCACTGCCCAGAGACAAAAAAACAGATCTAGGGTGACCTCCTACCACCACTGTGCATCAGGTCATCAATAACGTGAATCAGGTCCATGGTGGCCATGAACTCCCAAGCCACTTCCAATTCTGTGCCCAGAGAAGGCAGACTGAAGTATCCCAGAACCATAGGTCTGAGGAGCTCCAGTGCAAATTGGCATTGAGCAAGTAGGAGGGAGCAAGGAGTCTGATACAGTAGTAGCCACCTGAACTGATTCCTAAGGCCCAACTTCACAAACAGGGTCTCACATTCAGCTATCTACAGAACAGCACCCCTGGTAGGGTTTCTTGGAAGACAATAGCCATATTCTTCTCTTGCTCCAGAATTGTGTGGTGCTACACCCATAACCCAGGTGCACCCACTCTCCTCTCTGCCCCCAACTGTGTTTCAGTAATGCATACCAGATGATGGATGAGGCAAGTCTTATTACAGGCCATCCTTACATTAAGCAGCACCAGCAGGAGACTATGACCACTGAAGCTCCAGTGTCTTGTGGCCGAGCATAGAGGGCTAGAACACAGCATTGATACTGTGCACTGAGGCTGCTTCCCTGAAAGTGTCTCACCTCATCTTTCACCATATTGCCCCATGCCCATTACTACTATGATGTCATGCCTGGTCTCTTCTCCCTTACAATTATACATGATCGTCCTCCAGTTAAAGGGGCTCCATGTACACTAGATGACCAAAACAACTGACCAATCTAGGCACCAGGGATGCTTGTGCAAGCATTCAGCAGTGACAATCTGGTTAACCAGCCTACCTATGCCCCCACCCAGTCACACACCATACCAACCCCTGGACCCCTTGCTCTTACCCTGATAGCTGGAGGAAAAAAAACTCACCCTCACCCTCACCAAACAGAGTGAACCAGAAACACCCCATTCCCCATCTCGCACATTAGAAATGACCTCTCCCCCATCTCCTACCCAAAAAGGAATAAAACATCTACATACATTGATAGATGTGCAGGAAGGTTTCACAGAGCTTGCTAGTGAATATCGGTTCTGGGAGATCTCGGAAATACTGCTTCACCATGTCTGCCACATCAAAGGCTGACTGCCCCTCATAATTTATATTATTTGGATTATTTTCATTCATTTCTCTTAAGTAAAGGATCCTGGATTTAACACCAGATTTTCTGAAAAGACCAACCTAGAAAACAGAATGTTTTAAAAGTAAGGATCCAATCCAAACAATTCCACTGACTTGAGCTCTGGCATAAAACTCATAAGTGATTGCATATTCATAAGCTTAGAGCTATGCAGGATGTCCAATTCAAAGGTAAAAAGGTCCTTTGGAGCATTTGGGGCAGGTTCATAGTACCTGTTTGCAACAACTTAATTCATACATGTCTTCCCCCAGGCATGCAGCTACTCACATCTTAAAGCCACTGTATCTTTTCCTGAGAAGGCAATCTTACACTTTCAGGAAAAGCCATAGTTGCTTTAAGGAGTTGCAGATAAGTACGTTGTGTCTATATATGCTCCAAGGTACATTTTGTCCTTAAATCCAAAGTGCTACACAATCCTAATGAACACCTGAGTGTATATCAGTGTGCCATTCAATACAGTACAACCGAAAAGGAAAAAGCTCTTGATAAGCTGTTGAAGAATGAATCATGCCTCTCTCATCTTAAGTGTACATATCCCACCATCTGCCATTTTGTAGGTACTCTATTACAATTCAAGGCACACTGACATACATGTGTATGTGTATGGGTGTATCTATAATCCTCTTTCAAGACCCTGGTGATCAAGAGTTAATAGAAAAGTACTGATGCCTAAACTACTTCATTGGAAAGTGGTCAGTTTGGGGATGATACAGGTAGTCCTCATCTATCAACCACAATTGGGACCAGCAATTCCATTGCTAAGCAATGCAGTTGTAAAGTGAAAAATCGCATGACCACACCTGACTTACGATGGCAGTTTACCATTTCTGGCTGGGGTCATTAAGTGAATCATCCACGGTTGTTAAGCACAATGTCACATGACCATTAGTTGCAACTTCCCACCTGCTTCCTCACTGACTTTGCTTGTCAGAAGCTGGCTGTGAAGGTCGCAAATGGTGATCATGTGACCACAGGGTCCTGCAACCATCATAAATGTGCACCAGTTGCCAACTGCCCAAATCGCAATCATGTGACTGCAGGGATGCTCCAACAGCCACAACTTCAAGGATTGGTCTTCTTATTCAGTGTCATCGTAACTTTGAATGGTTGTTGAATTAATGGTTGGTAAACGATGGCTACCTGTATAAGGTGCTGTTTATTGTGTCTGAACAGCGACATGCAAATTATTGATGGACGATACCACTACTAAGAAACTGAGATGTTTATTTAAACACAACTTTGTCCCCAATGCATTCCTCCTTGCCCATAAATGAATCTTAATGTTTTGAATAGATAATCATTTTTTTCTGGAAAACAGGCTGAGATTGATCACAATCTCTAGGACCATTTAGACAACATATCTCCACATACAGTTCAACATACAAGTGGTGAGTAGTTTCTCCCTGTTCCAGCCTGCAACAGTACCATCATCAAAGAATCGGCCTTCAAGACTACAGTATGATTTAGTGTAGTGGGGAGTTTTCACTGAAAATGCTGGCTTCCAGCTGACATTAATTAAATAATTAAATAATTAAAATCTATTGGCCATAGAGGCATAAGATGAGCTCTTCAGGAACTTTTGAAAAGGGGCTGCTTATCACTCCATAAGTGTTAAACTGCACATGAGAACACAGTGCCTGAATGGGGCTAACGACAATGCATTCATAGCAAATATTCAATGCATCGAAAAGTGAGTGGTATGTGCACAACATCTATTAAGAAGTGATTACAATAAAGAAGGAGCAAACCTTGAGAGAGTGAGTTGGCCAGTTATGCATAATCATGACCAACTCCTTCTCCATAATGCAAAATTTTTTTAAAAAAACCTGAAAAGAATGAAATACATAGTTTAGCAGAAAGGATATGGATTAGATAGGTGTTGTAAGGATATTTTACTGGAAGAAAAGTATGATATAAATGTAATATATAGGTAAGATTTTAATAGATTTAAGAAAGCGGCTCTGAAAATGAACAGACGGGGCAGGCACAAAGAGAGGGTTTCTCATCATACATCTGTCAAAGTTAATCCTGGTTGAAGAGTTTGTATCTACAAGTACCAATTCTCAAGTCCAGAGAAATCAGTGCACTGAACTTCTACTGATTTGTGTGTTCATGTTTGTAAGAGAGAGAGACGAAAGATAAACTGAGAGGGATGTGAACCTAAGCAAGTTTCATACAGGTACCTGGTCAAGAAAATGGTGTCTTAAGTAGTCCATAGCTTGGAATATGCTCCTTGGAAGGGGATGACTTGTTCTTTGAACATTTAACAGTAATGGTACTCCAAATACATTTTTGTCCTTATAATCAGGGACTTTTATTTTTCTAATGAATTTTGGAATAGTCCTGAAAATATGGAAGTAATTCATTAGTGGACATGGTTGTCTGGGTGATACAGAGTTAAGTGCACATAACTGGGTTTTTGAATTTGTTAATAGGATATAACAAGGTAAAAAACAAAACAAAACCCTGAAGTAACAAAACAGATATCAGAAGGACATTACTAGCATCGGTTAATAATTTTCAACTTTATAGAGAAAAAAAAAACTTTAGATATAGTTATTTATACAATGGAGGAAGAAATTCTATTTATAATGTTTACCATGTCTGGATGACATATAATTTTGTTAAAAACATGAATTAAAAAACCATATTTTTTTAACCAAAAAGAGTACTATCATTTTTGCATTTCATAATAATAACAGAAGATGAAAAACAATGTTTCCAGGCTCTTCTGCATTAGGGTAGGGACGACCCTAATGAAGAACCAATGCCCCTTCCCCAGGCTGTAACTTCCCACTAGTTCCAATTTGCTTCCAGTTTCAGGCCTTCTGAGTACTTCTTGATTACACCACCAGTTTTTGGTAGCAAAACTACTGATTTTCAGCAGTGCTAAATAGTTTATTAAGCCTACACAATGTTTGCACTTAATCCATCCCATCATTTCCAAAAAATGTGCTGAAAATTGTAGCTCCTGTCCTGCCCCATGACCTCCCTGCATCAACAGACTCTGGTAAGAAAAATGGGAGGGCTCAGGCTGAAAAAGAGGGTCTTTTTCTCCTGCATTAGTGAGAAGGTTCAAATATCAGGGTCTGCACAAATTACCACAAACCAGCTGACCTCTAAACATCATGCTTTTGCCTCTCCTACTGCTGTTTATATCCTCTTTCATCTATCTGAAATCTAGACCAACATATTCCCCAACCTCTGCAAATTGCTTATTTTTAGCTTAAATATATTAAAAGTTTTGTGCAAAATTATACATCACTAGCCTGAAGGGCTAGATGTTGTACTAATGGAATTAGATACCAGAAAGTAGGGCGTGGCTATGAGCCAGATTCAAAATAGATAAAACAATTCAGAACACATGTAGCATCTCCTAAAGCTAAGTATTTTTCTGCAATCATGTGGCAGCCCTGCTAGAAAACAAGCAGCAGAGATCTCAACAGACTTTGGGAGTAACTTCAACTGAGCTATCATTACTAAAATTGTTAAGCTAGGTAATTTCCTGAATGTTCCGCTTTCCACCAGAATAGGCCAATTGGAGTGTTCCGGTTTCAGAGCCAGACTGCATCAGGAATGTCAGGAAGTACTTCTTGTTCCAGAAGAAATACTTTCAGAAATGTACAAAGCACTCCTGGGAAAGTGGAACACTTTGGAACATTGCCCATTTTACACATAATGACTCCTTTGCTTCTGAAACTATTTCTTTTAACTTACCAGTTCCATCCTTGTTTGCTAGAAGGAGAATATTTATCCATTAGAGTAGTTAATTTTAACAAAGCAAGCTTTTGCATGCGGTTCAGATGAGTTGCTGATTGGCTGTCAATTTGTAGAAAAAGACTTTCAAAATTTGTGCCTTCTCTACTAGACCAAGGTCTCCTCATATGCCTGAAGAACAAAAACCGTCATAAGTGTTCTTTAGTATTAATACTATTTTCATCACTCATTCTGTTTCTAAAGGCATATGGCCCATAAAAAATTCTAAATGTTTAAAAATATCTTATAAGAACATCATCATCATCAACATCATCAGTCAAAACCTGAAACATTTGACATTTAGTTAAGTTGTCATTAATAAGCAATTAATTCCACTGCATTTAACCTAGACTGCTTTCAGGGGTGACTGATCAACTTACTTTCTTTTTACATATTTCACATTTTATTCTGATTCTTTGCAATTTCAACAAACAGCTGACCTGATGGAATGCGTTGGTATCATTCCTGTTCCTGATCCCATTACATACGTCAGTTCCAGGAAACCATGTTCACCAATGTGTTTGCAGCTGTCTTCACCATCAATAATTGGCAATTCTGGTGATTTTTCTTCTGAATGCTTTTTAATTTCAAGATGGATTTCTTTAGGAGATGATGGGCATGGAGAAGTGGATTGGTTAGAGTAACTTGCAGAATCAGAGTCTCCATCATCAGATAATTTCTCTGTCCATTGACTGACCAACTTCCTGAGTCCATTAACATGTTCCATAACACTGTCAAGTTCTGTAAAGACATCATCATCATCAGTCTCTGGTGAATTCATTTTGTGAAGATGATTTTCTGGTACATTGTCATATATACTCAGTCTGTTATCCATTAGTGAAGGAGAGCCACATGACACTTCAGGCTCCCGAGAATTAATCTGATCCCTGCTTCTCCGGCATCCATGAAAACTCCCGGTTCTCCAGTTCACCGAAGTATTGTCCATTGGAGATAAGAGACTATATGTAAGCGCTTTGGGGAAAGTCCCTGGCTTATGGCCTTGTGGTACTTGAAATACTTTGTTCTTGTGCAAACATATCTCACTGTTAAAGTTTTGCTCAGAAAAATCACTCCATAAGGAAAGCTTGCTGGGATCAAACTCTTCGGCATACATTCCTCCTCTTTTACTGTGTCTCCTTACTTTGCTGACAGGGCTTGGGGTGCTCACAGTGCTACTGTTTTCAGACTGGCTGCTGCTGCTACTACAGGTCTGGGGGGAATAAGAAGGCTGTATTACCCGACTCGCTGGTGCATCAGAAATGTCTATGCAATTTAAGCTTCTCAACTTTTCTTCACTCAATCCCTCTAGTAGAGTAGGCTCACTAATGTTGAATTTGGCCTTCAAATGCATCCCTTTCTTACAACTGCCACTTCTTAAGCGCAGCTTCTCCATTTTCTTTAAGATACTGTTTCCTTTTTTATGGCACAGTTTATCCAAGGTCTTGTCCTCACTTGTCATATTCAAGGTTTCAATAAGAGAAGGGGAACAACTGAAAACAGAGTCAGGGGATGCTAATTTATTTGAGGAACAGGTTGAAGAGCTTCTGCTGGTCTCAACATCCTCACCAATTTTGGGAAAACTGATTATATCACTATCCCCACTGCTAGAACTATGAACTGAAGATTTGTCATGTATTTCTCCTTGATCTGAAAATATAATATCCCCACTGCCATTGCTTTTAAGTCTCAGGTTATCAGGTCCTGATGGACAAGAAACATCTATATTTTCCAGATGAGACCATCTTTCAGTACATTTCTCATAAGTCCATTTGTCACTTATTGCACAAGGCTCTTCATCTTCAGATTCATCACTCTTAAAGCAAACAAAGAAGTTTAAAATTAATATAATGTAGATAATCAAAAGCTGGAGATATCATTAACTCTTTCATTTTCCAAAATGATGTTTCATAAGGCAAAAAAAAAAAAAAAAGCTGATGCTAGAAGAGAAAAAATGGTAATCCTCTTGTTCTTTCTGTCTGCATATCTCATTTATATACATACACATACAGTTCTAGCTCCTTAAGCAAATCCACCTGATTTCAATATTCCAGAACAGCACTGGAATATTTTATTTAAGTATGCAACATCTTCTTTTCACAACATTCAAACAAATGTGTTCAACCTAAACATTGCCTTATAAGTGAAAGAGTTTTAAGTCAAGATGTCCTTTAATGAAAGAGGATGCCTTTGATCAACCAGCTACTTTCTGGCAATTCAACACTAAATATTTAATGTAATATTTAGTTTAAAATTAAATATTACATTAATTTAATTAGTTATTTATTATCTATTTAAAGAACTTATATAGCCACCTATCTCATACAATGATCCTAGGCAGCTCACAACAATCAATAAAAACAGGAATCAAAACAAAACCACCCTTCCCACCAGGAGCCACATCAAAGAGCCTCCTCTCAACCCCCATTCTAGACCAATGCTTGGGGGAAGAGCCATGTCTTAGAGTTCTTCCAAGAAGTTAGAAGAGATGATTGAGCCATTTTAACATTCCAGTGCTTAGTCTTTATTATTACTAGCTGACTGGCTGAAAGGGTAACATCAAAGTGGATACAACACTAGCAACATCCTTACATTGCTCATTGGGATGGATTTTCAGAATAATTTGAGAAGTCATGGATCACACAAGAGAAGCCTATCTACAGCCTCCTTATATATAATTCCTATATAATTTAAATTTATAAATCCACCCAACTCACAGTGACTTCTTATTCAACAGGGATTCCAACTTTCTGAAAACTGGATTAACTCTCTGAAGTTGAAACAGCACTGCCACAGTTTCCACATTGCCAGAATAATATAAGAATTTGGCTTGAAGACTCCGTAAATGAGCTGGTAGAATCATATCACACTATAGATATAAATTATCGTTAATACTCTCATCACACAAAAAAATGTCTTGTATATAAAAAGTGCTTTGGTAAAAAATAAACATATCCCAATCTTTTTAACCATGTCAGTGTTCTACTTTATATAGTTTAAAAATACAGTAAGTAAGAATGTTACATCTCAGGACACTCTCACCTCATTTAGCATCATGAATATTATGGAGAGAATAGGGTACAGATGGTGTTCAAGATAAAATCTCATTTTCAACTAAGAATGTGGAGTCCTTGGTGCACTGATGATGTTACCTAGTTGGGTAATGAAACATATGCAAGCAAAGAACCAAGCTCAGAGAGCACCAAGGACTCCACAGTTCAACCCTCAGCTACATATATTCTCTTCTATTGGAACTGAGAATGTTTCAGACTATACTTATAACTGAAAATTAATACCAGCAGAAAAGCAGTAATTGTAGTAAAAAATAATAATATGTTGAGAAAGAAATTTCTCAATATAAGACCCTATCAAGTAAGCAGTTAGTCATGAAGACAACCAATTGCCCCAGATGACTTCTTCCATTCAGCCTTTGAAGCATCTCCTGCTAGGTTCTGGGGTGTTTTGTTTTTTAAAGATTTAGCCATTGGTTCTTTAATTCTGATGATATCATCTGTCCATGAGCAGATCCAGAAGGACAAATGTAACATATTGGAGATGATTTTAGGCTTGTTTCTCTGGTTAATAAGGATGAAAGTTGTCAGTAGGTGACATGATGAACCACAAACGACCCAGTGATGGTCTTTGCCAGAGAAAGGAACCAGCTAGTACAACAGCCTCGTTCATAACAAGCCACAAGCAAAGGTTGGCATGTAGGCAACAACCTTGTATACCAATATCTTTCACTTTATAGTAAAGATTTTTTGTATGAATCATAAACATACCCGCTTTCTTGGCTTACTTATTTCCACCTTCATTGCTGCATACTTATTCAAGGTATTTAACCGTCTGGGGGAAACAAAGAGAGACAAAGTTCTATAATCCTGATTTTCTTGCATTCTTAAATTAATGGAATACAGCACACATTATAAACAAATTCACCTCTTTGTATTTTTCTGCAGTATTCCACTGAAGATAGTGTCTCACTTTATGTTTGCCTCTTAATGTTTTTAAAAACTCATACAGGGAAGCAGGCCCAAAGGTGTGCATTCATAACAAAAAATAAGCCTGACAAAGCTATTGAATTTTAGTGAAAAGAATGTGGTTTGAAGCCTTCCATCCAGTACACAGAAGTCTAGAGTTATTTTTCAGTAATTTTCTTACCTGCATTTTAAATGAATAACAAAAGAAACAGAAAGCATCATTGACATATTCCATGGTGAAGTACTACAGCCCTGTGGGTGTAGTATTTTATTCCACCAACCAAAGCATTCCTCAGTCACATTCCACTGAGACTCAAAGGGGTGGGAGGAACTAACTGTCACTTATTCTGCCCTTGCTCTGCAAGCCCCACCTCATTCAGTGTGAAGTGGGGTTGGGGCAGAGGAGAGTCCTCTGATACAGATTTTCAGGAGTTGCAGTACAGTGCAGAAAGAATTGGAGTCCTCAAGCATAGTTTCTTCTCTTTTAATCCAGTGCAAACATTTCACTGGCTTAAAAACTTCCCATTGACCTTTAAATTGTGAACCATTCAATTCACCTAAATAAATATATAAATAAATAAATAAATAATCTGTTTGATATATTAGTGGTTCACTGACCTATCTAGTAAATGGAGAGAAACTAAAAAAGTTGCAGACTCCAAGAAAAGCATGATATTTTTCCATAATTGCTAAATCTCAGGTCCATAATATTCACTGACAAACATTTACCACAAACGTACCTTACCATTTTTGTACAAGGAAAGCTTTATTGTAATGTTGTATCGTTCTCAATAATATCTAAATTTATTTTTCCATTACTGTCCCCCTCTTCTGTTGCACAGCATTCCCCTAAAAATCTATGACTTGTACTTCATTGATTTTTAGGAAACCTATTAAAACTTGGTTGTTCAAGAAAGCTTCAGGGGTTAAGATTTCTTACTGTTGTTCCCTCTCACACTGGACTATTTCTTTAATGTAACTAATCCCCCCCAATGTATAGTTAGTCCTTGTTAACAACAACTCGTTCAGCGACTATTCGAAGTTATGACAGTACTGAACAAGGAGACTTATGAACAGTCCTCATAGTTGTGGGTATCACATGATCATAATTCAGGTGTTTGGCAACTGGCTCGCAATTACAATGTCACAGCATCCCATGGTCATGTAATCACCATCTGTGACCTTCACTGCCAGCTTTGAACAAGCAAAGTCAATGGGAAAGCTGGCAGGATGCCGAAAATGGTGATCACATGACATCACACTTAATGACTGGGTGGGATTCACTTAATGATGGCAACTGGAGCTGCTGTAACTACCATCGTAATTCAGCATGGTCACATGACATCACACTTTATGACTGCTTCACTTAGCGATGGAGTTGCCAGTCCCATCATTAAGTGAAGACTATCTGTATATGTGCATTTGATTGTTATTATTATTATTTTTTAACGATTGTGATTTTGCTATCTTATTTCAAATCTGATTTACAAAGGTGGACTATGTACAAAACTCAGAATGGTCTGCAATTAAAGCGGCTATAAGTCCAGTGAATGGAATGGAAATGTTGCCAGTTCAGACCTGAGTCTCTGAGAATACACTTGCTCTTTTAATCTTTAGTATGCATTTTAAAAGGAAATCTGCTAGTATAAGTTACGTATAGCTTTTCAGCAATATATTTAGGGACGAGGTACTTTAAAATATTATTGTGTAATTTGTTTGCAATTAAGCAATTACCCTTGAACTCGCCTGAGGTAGTAGTTGGTAGTTGTGTAATATATGGGAGGGCTGTTGCTTTCTAGAAGAAAAAATGTAATTATAACATATATCTATATTGCTACAGCTGCTCTGGCAAAATTTCAACACCTCTTTAGTACCTGCAGCATTTATCCAAGCTCTTTCCAGAAAAATTCTAATGGCTGATATTCAGATGATCTGTAAAAAATTGGGTATGAATATTCCTAAACATTAGGAACCCTTAAACATTAGAGTTGGCAGGATGAACCATTATAAAGTATCCCATGCACAGGGAGTTTAGGATGAAAAAAGAAGTTGGCCCAATGTTCAGCTGAGTGATATTCACATTTTTTTTTCCCCATGAAGGAATTGGAAATATTGAAGAAATATTGACCTCCTGATATTTGGCTCTTTAGAAAATAATCTTGGATGATTTGAGTTCTCAGCCATGCTGAATCTGAGCAATTAATGAGACCTTGTGCAGAAATCTTTTGGTGACCAGATGCCACACTTTGTGGTTTTTTGTTTTTGCTTTTGTTTTTTGAAGGGTGGGGGGAAAGAGAGAGAGGGAGGGAGGAAGAGAGAAAACCTAAGGCTGCAATAAATGGAGCAATGATAAGGGGATGGAATTATGTCTCATACATGGACAAAGTCAGATGACTTTCTTTTATTTCTTGTGGGTAGAATGTTTTATTTGTTTTATACTACAGGTAGTCCTTGACTTACAACCACAATTGGGATAGAACTTCAATCACTAAGTGATGTGGTCATTAAGTGAGTCATGCCCTATTTTATGGCCTTTTTTGCTGCGGTTGTTAAGTGAATCACACAGTTAAGTGAATCCGGATTCCCCCATTGACTTTGCTTGTTGGAAACCCCCTGGGAAGGTCATAAATGGCAATCACATGACCCCAGGAAGCTGCAACCATTGTAAATACATGCTGGTTCCAAGTGCCCAAATTTTGATCATGTGACTGGAGGGATGCTGCAACAGTTGTAAGTGCAAGGACTGGTCATAAGTCACTTTTTTCAGCACCAGCGTAATTCTGAATGGTCATTAAATGAATGGTCATAAGTTGAGGACTACCTGTATGATAAGCCTACATTAAGGCTTATATTTCAGTTTCATGAGGTTTACACCTCCAAATTACAGGAAATCAACTACAGTGATTTTCAGTATCTGTAGTTGGAGATGATTTTGGGGCCTACCAAAAAGTAAAGCAGGGACCATACAGAAGACTAGGCCCTTGGTTTTCTTATCCCTAGTGCAGTCAAACACAACTCCTCAATTATACTTTGCAACCAGAAGAAAGCCACTGCAGATACTGAAGCACTGGTAGAATGTTATTTTGGTAAACAATCCATTACCTGGCAATCTTGCATTTTCTAGTACTAATAACTAAAAATAGGTACATTTAAAATAGTTTGTCTCTCAAGCTTGATGATAGGAACAATGGCAGTCAGTTCAAAACAGAAATCATACTACCTACATAAAATATGCACAACCTTGGATACCAGACCTTTGTGAGTTTGAGTGAGACACTTCAGAGACCTAAAAGTAAACTTTGAACTGGGTCTTCCTCATCCTAAGTCCAATACACGCACACTATACTACACAGGTGTTAAATGAGAAGTTACTTAGTCCTAGGCCCACCTGGTATTTTTTGGTGTCTAGTTTCTGACATGCCACTCTTCTGACCTAAAGCCTCTTGTTTACAGTACTGGTTAAAAAAATAAATAAATCTGAGCATTGCCTCCTAGATTCTGAAATTTCAGGTGTAATGAGAAATTTATGAGCATCCACTGATTTATTTCTGATGTATACCCTGAAATATTTGACAAAAATGTCTTAAATCCAATTCATAAATTTAGTAAGACCCCTGAAATTTTTCCACATTATTGTCAATCTCATATTTGGACAACGATAAACTCTGTGTGGATCAGGAATTAGCAAGATTACATTATACTGTATCTTGTCAACTGTATTGATAATACAAGTACTGAGATCACCAAAATCCATTTTTTCTAGGATGTCACAAACTTGATACATTAAAAAACCCAGTTTGACTGCTTCATGGCAACTCTGTAGCAATTTTTAATGCTTGGTTTTTATAACTTTTAATTGTATTTATGTTTTTAGTGTGTTGTAAGCC